AAACCAATGCCATAGGGGAAGACAAAAGGAAATGCTAAAGCAAAGTAAAGCGGCTGAAATTGATCCAAAAGTTTGGTGCCCGTATACAGTGTCACTTCTGGAAGAGGCTGCGCGGGCGCTGGCTGACTGCGGGTCACAATGTCTTCCAGTGCAGACACGTGTTGTGCATTTAGATCGTGACATCCTGCAGTTGTTTTCTCTAGAACGACCGCGTTCGGTTTCAGCAAACGTCCGAACTCACAACTCACTTGTGCTTCAGACATTTGGTCATTGAAGGGCGTAGCTGCTTTTTGCCGTAAGACGTGATTAAGACTCCCATCGTTATCCAATAAGGCAATGATTTCGGCGGGAACGTCATTTTCTGGTAACATTTCGGCACGTGCTTCCACGAGTGCCATATCTATTCCTTTGTACGCAGGATGGCTTCGCGCAACCATTCTTGCGATTAATCTCACAACGACCTGACGCCGGACAACTGCTTGGTGAATGATGTGTTGACGCATCGCTGCTTTGTCTTTCTTGTCTCCTATTTTTATTATAACGGCAATTTTGTCACTTAATGCTTTGCCTACGTGCGGTAGGCAACCGGCAGGCGTATTCGATGCCAGTTTTTCGTCTAAACGTTGGAATTCGGACAACAAGTCTTCCCATGGCAACGGAAACGTCGTTGCATTTCCTTTGGCGCATAGGCGGTGCCGGTTCATAAATGCATCTTGGGCTAAACTCCGGTCTTGCAGGTAGCGCCATTCAATGCTAAAACACGTCAAGGCAGTCATGCAAGGGCTTGCACACAAGAGTTCTAAGACAGTGCATTCTTGCGCATAGATCTCCCGCGGTGGATGTCCGAGTATCATATCGTTGCTCAATGCTGCTGGTGGTTTGCTCCTATGTCGATACACATAGTTCCAACAAGAGGAACAAATTGGTACTTCGCAGTGCGTGCACACAGACTCCATGGAACAACGCCTGTAGCAAGTTTTGTCTTCGGGACATGCAACCACACGAATCGTGTAGGAAGGGCAAGACATGTTGCATGTCCACTGCCCCAGTTCTGGTTGCAAACTCATCTGTGTGTCGGCCGGGAGGGTAGAAACATAACGGGCATGGTACGTGTGGAACCCTAGCATTTTTTCAAGATCCTCTGCGCTTTGCCCAAAAAACTGCCCTGTGATTTGGTCAAAGGCTCGCTGCCACCTAATTTCTTGGTTGGGAAAATCGTGCACGAAAGGGTACCTGCGCGCACAAATAAAACAAATTGCAGCACCGACTTGTTTGCCGCGCAAGTTCAGCCGCAGTCTGCGTAAACATCTCCGGTCAACAGAGCAATTGGCAATGGGTGCCAGTTGCTGACAGTGCCATGTTAGAACCTCGTGATATGCTTGCAAGGTTGCTTTCGGCTCAGGGACTTGCAGTGACCAGTGCGCAGACAAGCTATGTAGAGCGTCTGCGTGCTGATTGGCGATGTGTTCTGCCAGCTCCTGTTGCGTTGCACACTCGTACCTGCAGGCTCGAAAAGCACAATGAAAATCAGGCAGGTCATATGCTTTAAGCGGATCGTCTGCTCTCCAAAAGCGTTCCGGCAAGGTGGGCTTGTCGGACAGCAGAGCAGCCGCGTCCTGTCGTGCCCCATCAGACGCAGCACGTGGATCTTGATTCCCTTGAGAGGGCCTCCAAAGCCGCAAAAGGTAGATATCGCCATCATCGCCCTCGGTTCGCTTCATTGCTATTCCTTCTGCGTGCATGTGCCCAGACTTACGGTCTTCCATGCCAGAACCTGGCGCCGTTTTCTGGCGCAGCCGGCGCAAAGGCACCGCGACATCTAGCTTCCTATCTGTGCTGACGCTACTTCTTCGCTGCAGCCGCTGCTGCTTTCCCTTTCCTTGGTTCGCTTGTTGGGCTTTGTTTGCGCTGATTGCTGTGCTTAATTTTCTTTTGCCGCATTGCTTTGGGTTTTCATCATTCTTTGTAGACCTGCTCGCGCCTCCTTCATCAGTTGATTGTCCAGAGGATTCTTTGCTATCGTCCTTGCTATCTGCAGCATTTGGTTGGATGGGCACAGTCGGCGGCAGGTGCTCGCCTTCGTGGTTTGTGGCAGCTGAGGTCGAAGTTCCTGCCAGTGTTTGTCCTGCACCTTGCGCGCAGCAATTCCGAAAACTACGAAATTGGTCTGCTAAGCGGCGGGCGTGATGTATCCCACTATCTGCAAATCTTAACCCTGCTTGCAACAATGTATGAAGACAGATGCCTTCTGCATCCCTGTCTGACCACGCTTCTTGCAAACAACGAACGTCTGCTTTACTGATTTGCACCTTTGCGCCCCGGCTGTCACAAAAGCGCTGCAAAATCTCGCGCATTTGTTCCATATTGGCGCTGGGCTCGCTACTCCCTGCATCTGCCGTTCCAAAGACATCTTGCGTCTCTTGGCTGGAACAGCTGCTTACACGCATCAATGCTGGCTCCTGCTGCGATACTGCTGCGGGCGCATCCGGCAATAACGCGGCATACTGACCATTTTGAAAACAGTAGAGTCGGAAAATTGGCACTAGCAAACTGTCGGGTGGACCAATCCTGTAACTGTCTCGTGGTACATTCAAGTCAGTTGTACTTGCATCATGAACATATACATCAGCATTCACACTCTTGTCGCTGGTGCCCAGAAGAAAAAATGTTGCGGCCGCAAGGTGGCTTTGCAAGTCGAAAGCCTGCGCTTCTGCCTCGTCCGGCTTTGGCTCCAATTTTAGATGTCTTTGGCATGATCTGCATAGTTGATGTCGTGCTTTCTGCGATGCCATCACAGAAGGTCTCATAGAAAGGTATCCGTGAAAAAGCAAATTCAATAGCAATGCTTCAAGCCAGGGGATATCAAAACTAGAACCGCAAAGGCGCCATGCCAGCTTGGCAAATACTGCTTCTGCTCTTCGATCTACGTCTTTTTCTGTTCTGTCCATGTTGGCGCTTGTCCTCGTGCTGTCCGTCTCTACGGTTGGTTCAGCTTCACGCACAGTGGTTTGGCGCAACAGACTATCAAAATGATATCCCCTGCCTTGCACAGAGGTGTGATTGTATATATGCAGCTGTAAGGCATGATGCTCGGGATGCTCGAACCCAAGATGGACAAGAATCTTGTTCCGGTCTGGGTCTGCCGTGCACTCACCAAATCGGTCGTGCACACGAATTATCATGTTAGCGCGCGCAACAGCCCGAAATCGTTGCAACAGAAATGTCACAATGTGTGCGGGCCGTCACGGTGCGCATCTAAATATGGAAAGAATCCCTTCGCGCTTGGAAGTACTGCTTGCCCAACCGCTTGAACCAAATGCTTTCTGCATGCAACTGCACTGCGTCGTCTTGCTGCAACATCTGCGCCCAAGTTGCTTGGCAAAAGACCTTCATACGCTAAGCACAGCATCAAGGAATCGATTAAGCAATTGTTGACGCCGTGTGACAGAGCCTGCTGCCACCTGAACCCTTCAGCTGCCAAAGCCTTTAAAGCTTGGGTATCAGTCATGCTTCGGCCAGGAGCATTTACCTGTGCGATGTCACACAGACGGTCCGCAACTGCAACGCAGTGAGCCTCTGTCCTGCTTGTTTGCAATTCTTTCCAGCCATCCCAAGTGGGCACCCAATTCTGCCCAAGTACTTTTGCTGCGTCCTCTGCTGTTCCAAGTCTAGATAACAAGATTGCTGCCACCAGCTGCTGCGCGTCGTCCCAAGGAAGCTCTACGTCTGCTGCTTCCTGTGGCTGCACCTTCAGGCCTTGTTCGTCATAGTTTCCCATTCCTCTTGGACGGTTTATTCCTCCCGTGCACAAAGTCAGCATTAAGTCGTTAAATGCTTCCTCATTCGTATGTAGCAACCTTTGGTTCTGAAAGGTTTTGCTGAGACATCTTACTGCAAAAGTGTCCTTTACCTCCGCCAAGAAACCATCGTCAGTTGCATGGCAAAGTGCACAGTGGAAGTGTCCGACTTCCCAAGATCCGTGGTTATCGCACGCTCCGCGACCACAGGTGTAGCAGTGCGACACATACTCTTCACTCAATTGTTTTGGGACATATGCTCTCTTATATGCTAAACACATGAAACACTGCAATTGTTCTGTGCCGCCTCCTTGAAATCGCACAGGCAGCGCCCCGCGCATATCAAGTGCATACTGTCTTGGGCGTTTTGCATGTTCGAGCTCAATGGGCGGTTTTCCCGTGTGTATTTGAACTACCGACCCCAACGCGTCTGGGGACACATCAATGGTGTTGTTGGCTACTGTCTCGCGGATGCCTTTATATGCAAGGAGCATCGCAAGTTGCACATGTGTGGCTTCTCTATTTCTTTGTCGCTCATAGTAGCTGGCAGGCCTCATGTCGGTCTTTGCGTTTACCGCGGCTGCAAGCTGACAAGGTTGTTGATGGCGTGCATTCTGGCAACGCTTGACCGTCCAAGACTCGTTGCCTTGGCACGCAGCAAGCTCACAGGTGCAGCAGTGCAGCACGTACTCATCACTTAATTGTTGGCGGACGTACGCCCCTGTGGCGTTCCTGTTCTTTACTCTTTGTAAACCTACCTTTTGCTGACAAAATCTGCATCTTGAGTGAACATGTTTATGCCTTAGCAAATTGCTCTGATGCAATGGAAACTGCTGCACTATGGCATTTGTTGGAAAGAGGGGCTCCTCCTTGTTTTCATTGCTAGACTGGAGAATGGTATCCTTAGTATACTGTCTGCTCACTAACTGTTTATCCGCCGGCCCCGCTGCACGGGGAAACACATCGGTAGAGCCACCTGTTGTGTGCTGTAGATAATTAGAGGTGCCAAGCACTAGTTTCTTACTTGCACATTGAGATGACACCTCGTGCGTAGACCTGGAAGACTTGCCACGGCGAAGAAGACGCAACCTGCTTGCACAACCAGTACCCTTCCCATTATTTCTAACCCTTTGCCTTTTGACCGGCTTCTCGTGCTTACACTTTATCAGTAATACCTCTTTGTGCTTTTGACCCGCAGCGTAGCAGCAATACCTCGCACAGTGGTACCTGGCCTGTTTCATGCGCATCCGACCCACCCAACGACATACAGATGCTACGCGGTTTGTTTTACCTGCAGATTTGTGATACTCATTGCGCTCTACGGTCGTTGTGTGTTGATGCTTCTCGGGCAAGTAACTGTGACTCTTCTCTTCGCCATGGCACCTTAGGCCTCCCAGAGTATAACTATCACACCCCGTGCGCACTGCGCGACAACATGTACAACTTGTAACCCCAACATCAAGACCAGCACCAATCCGAGACAGATTGTTGACAAGGCATGCCTGCTGACCCACGAAAAGTTGCAACTGTGCCTGCACAAGTCTCATTGTGTTTGCTGCATTTCCAATCATGATATTTGGCAACAGTGGCACGCACCACTCTTGCCAGCGTGTTGCTGTGTGTGCTTTGCCGAGACATGCTAGTGCATATTTTCTACGACGGCAACGGGAACACAAGGGAGCTGTGATATAAGTACGCTGAATGGTCTCGTTGTGCTTACTCTCACTGTTTTGCTTGTATTCTCCGAAGTTTTCCTTCTTGCTATCTTGGATTTTGTCCAAGCTAAGTGAACTCTCACTGTCATTCGGGACTAGCTTGCGAGTGCTAGGAGACCCTACCAGCACATTGGAACCACTCCAGCAAGCGTGCGCATAAGCTTGGCGACAGCAATGCAGACAACGAGAAGGCAAGGCAACTGTCAGTTCAGCACACTTTGTGTTCGAAACTTGCTGCTTTTTCTTTCTGCGTTTTGGGACGCAACTCCCTCTGCGTTTTGGGGCGCAACCCCTGCGGCGTTTTGGGACGCCACTCCCTAGGCGTTTTGGGGCGCGACCCCCTATGCGTTTTGGGACGCCGCTCCCTACCTTAAGGGCTCTCGCAAGCTCTGTCAACATGTTTGCCTGACACTGACTGCAATGACAAAAAACAGGACTTTTGATGTTTTTTGCATACTTTTCGCGAATGTGTTTCAGCCAAATTCCTGCCTGCGAGCTGCCTCCTTTTCTTAAGTGTCTTTGAAATGACACAATATACCTGCAAAGCAAAGCTATGCTATCTACGAAGAAGTGAACACATGCAATCGCGATTGCCTCACATTTCAAAACACTGGCACTAGTCTGGCCTCTTTTGTTCAGCCTGTTTCAATCTGGCTCAGGTACCACTGCACACCTGTACGCGCAAACCGTATGCAATGAAATTTCTGCTGGAAACAAGTGGCAAACAACGCATCTAGAGCCTGTATCGCGTGCTGTGCATAAGCGCCCCCTCTGTTTGCCAAACTCATTGGCTTTACTCAGGGCTAGAGCCAGAACTCCACACATCGTCTCATAGTTGACCTCCCATTGAATGCAAACATTGCAAGATGCTTCAGCATGAAGCAGTGTCTAGGCGAAGCCCAACATCTATGTCTAGGCGAAGCCTTCTAAAGAGGCGAAGCCTTTCAAAGTCTCACAACAGTTGCCGGATACCAGCCACTTACATGCCGGCGACTGTCACATCCACGCCCCGTTTTTCAATTGCCCTGAGTCTGAAGGTTGCACTTTGCGTACCTCTCACCTTGTTTATCCAGCTCCACATAGCTCTGGATCTCTACTAAAATCCGCAAAATCTTGCAGCAAGCAGGTTAAAGTAGAAACCATATTGAAGTTTTCCGTAAATCTTCATTCATGAATCCATCTTGCTCTTGTTTCACCAAACAACGAATTCTCTGAAAATGACTGAGCAGTGACATCAACGCCACCTACGCTGTTTGAACGCTATCCCTATTTCCTACCCGACCATTGTTTTTCAATCATAGAATATTGTTGCTACCTGTACGTATACGTATTTATACTATGGTGATGGGATGATTCCAATGATAAAAGTATGAATCCACGAGCGATTGTCTTGCTGCAAGACCTCCCAATCAGAAATGGCCGAACTGTGCACATCAGACCGTTGCTGTCCATCACGTCCTGATGAAGCTACACACAAGGGGGCAGTAGTAGTCTTTAATGGCAATCTTATTACGATGGGCCATGTGGGAGTACCTCCACATCAGAAACTACCTATGTGAAGCGAAGAGTATCTATGGTGAATTAATTATAAGCAAAGCTATGCTATCTACGAAGAAGTGAACACATGCAATTGCAGTTGCCTCACATTTCAAAACACTGGCACTAGTCTGGCCTCTTTTGTTCAGCCTGTTTCAATCTGGCTCAGGTACCACTGCACACCTGTACGCGCAAACCGTATGCAATGAAATTTCTGCTAGAAACAAGTGGCAAACAATGCATCTAGAGCCTGTATCGCGTGCTGTGCATAAGCGCCCCCTCTGTTTGCCAAACTCATTGGCTTGACTCAGGGCTAGAGCCAGAACTCCACACATCGTCTCATAGTTGACCTCCCATTGAATGCAAACATTGCAAGATGCTTCACCATGAAACAGTGTCTAGGCGAAGCCCAAAATCTATGTCTAGGCGAAGCCTTCTAAAGAGGCGAAGCCTTTCAAAGTCTCACAACAGTTGCCGGAGACCAGCCACTTACATGCCGGCGACTGTCACATCCACGCCCCGTTTTTCAATTGCCCTGAGTCTGAAGGTTGCACTTTGCGTACCTCTCACCTTGTTTATCCAGCTGCACATAGCTCTGGATCTCTACTAAGATCAGCAAAATCTTGCAGCAAGCAGGTTAAACTAGAAACCATATTGAAATTTCCCGTAAATCTTCATTCATGAATCCATCTTGCTCTTGTTTCACCAAACAACAAATTGTCTGAAAATGACTCAGCAGTGACA